TATTGAAACTGTTAGAGGAAGGTGCAGTCAAGGAAGCTTCAATTGCTTCAGAATTCATGCCATTAGCTGCTAGACACTTACGGCACCAGCCAACCAATGCTGGCTTGCTGGTGAACCTTTTGCAAATAGGGCAGGTTGCCATGATTTTGCTGGAATAGTGAGCGCTGACTGAGGGATGGGTGACTGCAGACTCAGGGTCAGGATTGCCCTTTTCAGAAGCATAAATCTTAGAATACGTGCTTGAAAACCCTTGTGTGCTCATGATGTGTGAAGGGGTGTGAGTCCCATCATGTACAATAACTGTTTGAGCAAGAGTAGACGCTAAGAAAAATGTGTTATGTTGGGGGTGTTTCAGCCATGAATGCATTCCAAGTGTGTGCCTGACAGTTCCCCAGTCATCCTGGTGGGCACATACAGCTCTCAATGACCACTTGGTCATATAACCCATTGTTTTGGGAGGTGGGTGGGGGGGGGGCTGTGATGTAATAGAACATAAATAATACCTGCTTCAAGGGTGATGAAGTGTTACATGGTATTGTTACAAGAAGGGTAGAAGCCATCATCAAAACAAGAAGGAGAAGCCGTCTTCAAACTGAGTAACTAATCAAAAGTAGTACCTACATCTCCCATAACCCTCACGATATGAGGAGCAAGACGCAACTGCTACCCTCATGTAACAGTTCAGAACTGCTGGTTGAGGGTAACAATCAATGGGTGACCATCCCAGCATGATGGGGTCATGTGATATCATGTGGTTCTGACATTGACAGCCAATGTCTGGTGAGGTCTAGGGTGGAAAGTTGAAACCAACATGCGACCAAGCATGTCAGAGATACTGTACTTGTAGTAAGCCCGGTTTGTTTTTTTTGGGGGGGGGGGGATGGCGCGATTGGCACAATTTTTTACTGGCACAATTTCTGCACCCTGTGGGCTTCTGTAACATACAGATTAGATCCTATAGTATGTAAGCTCTCCGAGATATCCAACTCAACCATCCGATGGGTCTGATGATCAACTCCCACCACTACCACCTCCACTGTTGCTTTCACCAGAAGATGAGGCCTCAAAAATTAAACGATGAACTATGTACTACTTGTACTCATTGTCAGTTACAACATCATCACTGATCTCAACTGTGAGATAAGTATTGTATCAGCGATACAACTTCTTCAGGTCATCACATCCAACAAAAACATACAAACTTCCGAACTTGTTCTTATTGATTATCACTGATTATAAAGAGATGAATGTTTGATTAAAAAGAAGATATTGATTATTGATTAGAAAGAAGAGATCAATTATCAATTAGGAGGAAAAGATTGATGATCAACTAGAAGGAAAATAATGATTATGAGAAAATGATGAATCACAAAAACAGGATTGATTAGAAAAAAATGATCAATCAGAAAAAGAACGGTGTGATTGATGCCACTGAGGAACTGTTGAACATAGTTTCTGATCAGGAGGACATGTTGAATGTACAAGGGATAGGTGAGATTGAGACTGATGGAGGTGAAGAACAGCTGGTGCACTGAGTTGTTTGTGGTACACGTTTTTGGAAGAGGTGATTATTGGATCTGTTTTGAAAAAAGTCCAGAAAAAAAAACAGTTCAAAAACAATTTTCAAATTGAGATGCGCTGTGGTACGTGCCCTAAGGCTCCGTTTGGCCGCCCAAGATATCATATATCAATATGGGAGAATCTTGCAGATTATGCCAGGGGGACGGGAATTATAACACTAGTGAGAGGGCTGCTTGGCAGGTCACATCATAACAGCTCGTTCATCACGGAATATACTTTTTGCTTATATTCTCCAGCCAAGAGGAAATTCTGGACTGGACCAATATTTACCATGATAATGGATTTGCATGGTTGTGTAATAATCGGATTAAGGTTGATAAATCTTAGGCTCTGTTTGGCTGCCCAAAATGTTATATATTGTTATACGCAAATCCTAATAATCGGATTTAAGATTTATCAACCTTAATCCAATTATTACAGAACCATGCAAATCCATTATCATGGTAAATACACCACGGGTGCACTCAATGGTTCTTGAGTTGTTCTCAAGAACCATTTGGGTTCTCCAGTCATCTTTGGAACCAAATTGGCTCTGATTTGGTTCTGAGGACGACTCAAAGACCATTCCAAGGTTCAATTTCATGAACCTTAAAACACACTGGTTTTCAGTTTGACTTGAAAATGTCCGGGGTGCTTAGCAAGTCGCCTCCAAGTTGACCTCCAGGCGAAAACGTCAAGACGCCTCCAGGTTGTTTTTGACTCAATGGGTGAGGGGGTCTCAAGCCATTCAATCCAGACGGCTTGAGAACGTCTCCATGCACCCATGGTGTATTGGTCCAGTCCAGAATTTCCTCTTGGCTGGAGAATATAAGCAAAAAGTATATTCCGTGATGAACGAGCTGTTATGATGTGACCTGCCAAACAGCCCTCTCACTAGTGTTATAATCACCGTCCCCCCGGCATAATATGCAAGATTCTCCCATATCGATATATGATATCTTGGGCAGCCAAACAGAGCCTTAAATCCGATTATTAGGATTTGCATATAGCAATATATAACATTTTGGGCAGCCAAACGGAGCCTAAGATGTCTCTCTTTCTCTTGAGGCTGGTATGATAAAGCCTAGGGCTAGACCACACACTCGTTGGAGGACCCTAACAGCGCTAAAATCTGGTCAAAAAAGACCCGGCCACAAGGTGCCTTCACCCAGTCTGACAACTCCCAAGTTGGTGGTGCCGGTTCCAAGCTCTCAGGAGAAGATGCACCCAAAGCCTGATGGATTACCTTCCAATAAACCAAGTACCAGTGTCTATTTTTGATTTCTCCAAAAAAAATTAGAATAACTTTGTGACTGTTGATCCAGGATAGCCAAAATTCTGGAAACAGCAATCCTTCACTTGTTTACCTTTTCCAGAAGGTGATCTGAGTCTTAATGCAATAAGAGAAGACACACACCATGCCAGCAGTTTTTTGCACTGATAGCCTGGCTAACGTCTCTCTCCCATTATGTGTGCAGGTAGCCCAAACCTATGTAGTGCCAATTTTAATTCCATCCTAACCATTCTCATCCATACATTCTGAAAAAAATCCCCCTCGGAAGGTTCTCCACCCAACGGGCTTTTCCCCCTCCTGATGCAGGTGATTTTACCAGCCACTCTAGTCCGACAATCAGGCCGGACAAAGCTGTCATAACAGTCGATGACACTTCGATCCGGGTGAACGTTGGGGCTTCAACGGTTTCCCATGTCTGAGCTTTTATAGTTTAAGAAGGCTCCTACCCACAACACCCAGAAACTTTTTAGAGGATTGAAGAGCAAAAGAAGAGTATAGGTCCCTCTACCAAGACATCGATCAAATTCCATAAAAGGGCTTTCAATAACCATGAGTTGGGGTAGATTTTGTCTGAGAATCCGAGTCAGAATAGAACGATCTTGTAGAGCATGATTGTATTTATCTTACGGCCAAGCTCTCCATTAGACTCAGCGCAGGCAGACATCACAACCTTAGCCGCCCTGTCTGTCTGTAAACAAGTTGCGCCAAAAAAACCACAGAAGAGTGACTTCAGAGCTCTTCAGAGCTTCAGATTAAAAATGTTGGGAAATTGTGCTTGACATATATATCAATAGGACATGTGGAGACAGTCGTGTGTTCCAATCAACCTTAAAGCAACTATTACACTCTAGCCGGGTCCACCGTCTCTCATTGTCTCCTTCTCCGTATGTTCCAGCTTGACAGCAGTCCCCTCAATCCAACCCGTTCCCATTGCAGCTTATTACAACCTTGTGGGCAGTTTTGAGTGGACGCGGCAAAGTTGGGGATATTCTGCACTCTTTTGAATCCACCTTGAGGAGAGCGCGTTTGTCATTTGTGCAAACGTTGCAACAGATAAATTGAGGGCAGTGTGGATCGAGATCATCGGGGGACAAGGGGAACCGAGAGTCTGGCCATGTTGAAGGTGCACTTGCCAAGAGACTTTACACATATGCCGCTTGAGCTTCTTCTGACATTTATTCTGGGGCGGTCCTTTCATGGCCTCACTCATGTTCATAAATATTGTCCGCGAAGAATCAGAAGTATGCACACTAAACAGACACCGTCCAATATCCAAATCTCATCCAAACTCATTGCTGGAGATGTTCCTCCGGCGAGTGGATAAAGTGATAATATATTTGTATCAGAAGAGCCAGCAGCATGTTCCGAGAGTGAAGACAATATGAAAGGCAGTGAATATGTATTACCTGGATCTTCTCCAATTTAATTCAGGTCGGAAGGGCAGCTCCTGAACCTTCCTCTGAAGAACCACCCTCCATTTCCCGGCCACAACATTTGATGCAGACTCTATAGAGCTGGGACAATGTTCTCGGCCCGCAGTGGGCAGCCACCAGGAATAACCGAAATATGGAAAGCTGACGGCAAGTGAATTCCTGCGGACTCGCGTATAGTGCCCTCGCCCCTTCTATCAATGTATCTCATCACGCTTGGCCGTTCAAGTGGTCTTCTGGATGGCCGACCCTTTGTGGTCTCTGTTATTGCCATGAGCCGTCCTACATAAAAACATGTCATTGATCAATTCATATCGCTCGCAGCTGTGTACATCACAATATCCATTCGATCTGGTCTGGTCACCATCGTCGAGCCACAGAACATCCACAACAAAGGGTGCACCACTTCCAATTAATCGCTGGGCTTTCGACGCAGTTGGTGTTCTATTTTACGGTTTAATACAATTTATGTTGTATGGATGCACTCTGATGCACTGCTCAAGCAAGAATCCAAGATGGAAGGCCTGGGAAATCTGTGTATCAGGAGAGGCTCCATTGGAATTTGGAAATGTCCAATGGGAGTGGTGACCTGTCAATCTGTCCAGTTCGTCTCCATGGAAGAATATGTAAAGGGGAAAAAACACGGGAGAGCGGATCTTTGCCCGAATCCCAGTGTCTACATGTTCGAATATAAAAGAGACACCTTGGGTGACGTTTCCCCCATCACCCCCTCCCCCATCAATCACTCATTCTTGTTGACATTGAGGCCTCTCCATATCTCTCATTAGAAGTCCCTCCTGCCCATCTCGCTCCGTTACCCACAGCTCCACAATGTTTGCCAAGCCCACTTCCTCAGTCTTACTCCTTGCCGGTAAGCCCCTGCCTGCTTCTTGTTCCCTTAGAGGCAGCTTCTCAGAGGACGAGTGTACTTGTGTGTCGTGATGGCTCGCTGAATCCCCTGTGCTTTGTCGGCCGTTTTCTTTGCAGCTTTTTTGCAAGCGGCCGTCGGTAGCTTTGCTCTTAGCACCGAGAGGTAAGCTCGCCACTTGAGGGTGCCACTCCGGCTTGAACTGGATAGCTTTTGTTGATCGACTGTCTGCCACGCGTCTTTTTTTTGCCCTAATTCTTCACTGCTCATCATCATCAGTCCCAGCACTGGGCTCAGTCGCCGTCAAGGAAGCAGTTCGACCACCACGGTCACCGAGATCAAGACCTTCACTGCTCAATGGAGCCAAGTGTCTACGGCCTTCGACACCTGTCACCAGACCTTCCAGTCGCAATCCACCAGCGTCGAGGTGGCCGTCCAGTCCGTCACCACGCTTCATCAAACTTGCGATCGCGTCGCTAGACAATATCCGTCCTGTCGAAACTGTGCTGGTGCCGTGCAAAGCGCCAGCCAGGAAGTGGTAAATCCGAAACTTGCTTTTTTTTCTTCCCTCTCGCACAGCTGTCTTGATTGATCATGTTTCTTTTTTTTTTTTTTCTTTGGTGTTTGTTCAGACCACCTTCAAGTCTCACATCGAGCACTCCTTCACCACCTTCCAAGAGATCCTGAAGACTGGGAAAGCCCGGTTTGCGTCCGACTGGCAATCCAAGTTTGCCGGTGAGTTCCACACCCATCCTTACTCACCGACGACAAAGTCAAGAGCCAAGAGGCCAGTCGCACGATGTTGACTGTTTTCTTCATGACCTTTTGGGATCTTCAGCGTCGTTCCGCCAATTTGACGGCTTCGTCAAGTCTGCCAACACCGCATGCTCGTCCTTGAACCTCCAGTTGGACGTGATCATCAAGGGGCTCGGCTTGGACTTGAATCTGTTCGTCGGCGTCAGCCTGAACTTGGGCGGGCTCCTTGGCGCAGTGGGCTCGCTTCTCGGCGGGATCCTCCGCAAGAGAGAAGTCTTGCTCTTGAACTAAAAACAGCTCTCTTTCTCTCTCTCCACTCTTCTCGTCTACCTCCCCATTCCGCGTCCTTCGAGCATACCTCGGACCCTGGCCTCGACTACTCTTTGTGTCCCATCATCCTGCTTCCTTTATCACTGAGCTCTCAAAATAAACATGCACAACAGACATTCCTTCTCGTTGTTTTCTTTCCCATTCTCGAAACGCAACGTAGTCTATCAGTGCCACCATGATTCCTGAACCTACATGGCGTTGCAATGTAGAGTCTTGTCCCAATGCTCAACACGAGCAAGCTGAGTCTGAGCAAGCAGGCGCAAGGTAATCAAATGAGCGAAGTCGGGGTGCAGCACCAACTTGTGTCCAGTGCCTCTGAGATTCGAATTGTAGTTTGTCCAATATCGATGAGACGTGTTGTGACTTTTAAGTCCATGAGCCACGTCAACATCTTGGACACGAAGTCACGATCGCCACACGTACATCGTGGTGATTGACCAGCAATCTTAGAGCATTCGCATTCGTCGTCGGGTTTAATTGCTGATTTTTGGCAACTTAACCCGACCGGCAGTAGTCGCATTGGCCCCGGGCTGACCTTGGGTTAACAAACCTGAAAGTTGTTTTCAGCCTGTTTCAGGCTCCAAGTAAACGCTGATCCATTCCAGGAAGAAGACGAGTGAGAAGTCCATCATCCAAAGGGGCCTGAGAACCAGCTCGAAAGACTCTTGGCGTCACATAGCACAACCATTCTCGCCCACAAACTCACAAAGACAACACCATAGGAGATATCCCCATGTTGAGAGTATGTGATTTCCACTCGTCTATCTCAATGATCACCCATCCAGCAATGAGGCCTGACGGAATCTGGAAACAATAAGTAGAGCAGAAATACATAATATAATATTAATATCTGCGTATCGGTTACGCATGATGTGATCCTACTATGTATCTATTTGTTCACCGCACGCAGTAATGAAAGGAGCCCCCATCAGCAAAAGAAAATTTGGCTTTGCTGAATGGTCAGTGAACTGGTGTGTTTAGAAAGTGAAGTGAGCTCAAGTTTGATTTCCATGGGCTTGATGGCCTCTAGATGTATAGGCATGGGCAAGCTCGATGGCAAGTAAAACAAGTGCAATCAATTCAAGATGTTTTCATAAGGGAGAGCTTTGTATATGAGTCTGACCAGCGAGTTGGCCTCACTTGTTTTCAAGACCTGGATCCGAGTGTGTCCCTTTTCAAGCATTGCTCGGCCAGGAGCAACTTGAAGTTGTACCCAGCCAGCAATTTTGTTTGCCGGGAGAGTGTATGTAAAGTGGGCCCCAGTAACAAGAATCCTACACAATCACACCCCAGCGAGCAGGCAAAAGGTATATGCACTTGCTCCGAGTGAGATTCCATGAACCTGTACATTGAACATCGCCGGGGAGTGTTATTCACCAGCAAGTGAGTACATCCCTGGAGGCCAGCTTGGAAGTGGCTAGTCTGAGTCTTGTGAATGCAAATCAGACTTTTCATCACTCCTCAATGGGGTAATTAGGATCCACCTTAGAATTATACACATGGCTTCTACTTATTGCTTCCAGATTCGCCCACCGCAAATGAGGGGGAAGTGTCGGCGTCAATAGCTCTTCCCAAGGTGAACAAGTTCCAAAAGGAGACAACTGGGATGATGGACACGAATGATCAACCAATATTTGGACAAAAAAAATGGAAGGAAATCGGTAGCTAGTTGATGATAATATAATACATGAGAGTTACACGACAAGTGAATTTTTGTTTCTCAGATTTCAAAGTGTGACAGAAGAAGATAAAGATGAGAGAGGGGGTCAAAGATTCCAGATTTTGATAGACCCATCTTTACCGGCGGCGAATACAGAATGAAGATGAGAAGCAGAAGAGGAGGAGGATGCGCGAATCGCGGCGACAGGATCGCAGTTATAGCCCGCGAGTTCCTGGAGCACTTTTGGCCGGGCCGCATCTACGATAGAGACTCGATAGGGCAAGCCATCGTGCCCGGCAACAAGCAGCGTCTGATCGTCCTGCGAGAATGCGAGGGAGTTGATCCCGGCCGAGGTGCGTTGCCAGATGGCTATGGGGATGACGGACAGAGATTCGATTTCATCTTCTGCGGTTTCAGAGGAGGAAGAGGTGGTGGAGCAACACGAGGGGGAGGAGGGTGAGGAGCGGTGCCAGACGAGGGTCGCTAAAGAAACTCGCTCTGGTGCGTGTCTCATAGGCTATCATGTCCATGGGCTCCTGATATGGCCACGACATCGATGGGCGCGCTGGACTGGCCGGAAAAGGGTGTGCGTAACTTGATCGG